ACTTCGATGTGACCGAGCTCGAGAGGTTTGAAGTTTTTGCTGGACAGGGCGTTCCACTGGTTGATTTCCACTCAGGTGCCCGGCGTGCCTCGCGGCCTACTTCGGCGCCGTCGTCGACCGCGCGCGGGCCCGCTACGGCCAGGCGGCCGTCCTCGACGACGCGTGCGCCGTCGCGGACCTCGCGCGGGCGCTCGCCGCGCGGCGCGGCTGCCCGGCGGTCCTCGCGGAGTTCCACCTCCGCAACGACAAGCGGTGCCGCGCGAACCTCGACGCGGCGGACCCGGCGGGCGCGCCGCGGGCCCGGGAGCCCGTCGCGCCGGACGCGCCGGGCCTGCCCGCGGCGACGCTCGCGGAGCTGCGCCGCACGCGGCCCGCGCGGACCGCGCCGGGCTGCGCCGCGCTGCTCGAGCGCGCGGAGCGGGCGTGCAACGGGACCGCGCGGGGGTAAAACTGGGGCTTGCCGTCTACTCGTCTACAGCGCGGCTCGTAGCGGTCCTCGTCGCCGCTCCGCCCGCGACGCGGCGCTCGTTCGTGAGTCGCAAAGCTAGGATGCTTATGCTCGGCCCTAAAGGCACTTCTCCTCGCTCTTCTTCCACTTGCAGCCCGCCTTTTTGCACTTTTTGGATTTCTTCTGCTTCGCGCAGTCCGCGCACTTCTCCTTCTTCGCGTTCCACGCGCAGCCGGCGGCCTTGGTGCACTTCTTTTCCTTCTTCTGCTTCTTGCAGGAGACTCCCGAGGAGGCCACGCACTGCCCCTTCTTCCACTCGCAGCCGCCCGCCTTCTTGCAGGGCTTCTTCTCCGCGTTGGACCCGCACGTCTTCGAGTGGCACTTGTTCGTCTCGTCCCACTGGCACAGCTTTTGGCCCTTCTTTTCGAACTTGAGGCACTTCTTCTTCTTCTCGAGCTTTGTCTTCTTGCAGGGGTCCTTCTTCCCCGTATCGCCGCCGCCGGCCGCGAAGCCGGCGGTCGTCGTCGTCGCGCCGACGACCGCGCCCGCGTCCGGCTCGCCGGGGGACGGCGGGAGGCGTCGCACGTGTACGACTAGCCTGCAGTCCGAGGAGGCCTTCCGGAGCACATGGCTTAGGTACGCGCTCTTATCGCAGTAGTAGCGGGGGGGAGGGGGTAGCGTCGGCGGTATAGCTTGTCATCGCCGTGGTCCGTAGCCTCGCGCCGTCGACGGAACGCGCGCGCGCGTCCGCGGCGGAGGTCTACTTGTCCTTGCACTTGTCGCCCTTCCACTCGCACGTCTTCTTGTTCGCCTTGCACTCATCCTTGGTCTTGAGTTTCTTGCACTTCGGGGTCTTGGACTTGGACGGCTTGTCCTTGCACTTGTCCTTCTTCCACTCGCACGTCTTCTTGTTCGCCTTGCACTCATCCTTGGTCTTGAGTTCTGC